GGCCTCCCAAAGTGCTGGGATTACAGGCTTGAGCCACCGCGCCCGGCCCCTCAAGTTTATCTTTATGGGATTATGCGTGATTCTAATTTTCTTTAAAGATTGGGAGTAGATTATTCTGCAGTCTGTCAACAGACCTTAGTTTCTACACTTCATTGCTTAGGAGAACTAAGGTCACTGTTCACAGCCTGGTGGGAGTGAGCAGGTAGTGTTCATTCTCAGTAACATTCTCAGCCCATAAAGGAAATTATAATTTCGAAAAAGAAATTTAGGAGGAAAAGGACTGCTTCTCAACAGGGCGTGTGAAATAGATGAGGTTACGTTGTTTGCAGGGCAGTATTCAATCCTGAAACTTCTACTCCTTGACAAAGTTGACACAATCAGAAACTGATGTCATTGATTATATGATTACTTCTTTATTACAAATTGCTACCAATTCTTAAGAAGCCAAGTCTTCGGCACCCCCGCCTAAGTATCACCAGAGACCTATTTCATCCAGGCACATATCTTTGGAGAAGCATTCCCAGACCCTTTGCCATCCTCGGAAAGGACTTCCAAGGCGCTTGGCTCCTAGGTCTTCACTCCCTTTATATAGGTTCCCGCTCCGGACTCGGTCTCTCGGTCAGAGTCAGGGCCGCCTCGCTCAGACAGCATTTTCCACTAACCTCAGGGTCAGCCCAATCCAGAGGCTCCAAACCCAGCGCCTCTGAGCTCCCCGCGGCGGCTTCCTGCGGCTCCCGCTGGCTTTCCGAGCGGAGGTGGAGCCCACCGCCCTTTCTAGGAAGAGGATGGCCACAGAAACGAGGACGACCACGGAACACGACGCGGAAAGGCGAAAAGCGCGTGCCGTTCTACCCCAGAGTTTCGGCGGCTTCCGGGGACGCTCTTTCTTTCTTCTCGCTGGAAGGCTGGAGGACCAGCGAGGGGCTGCTCGAGGAGACGGCGGGCGGGCGGGTTGCCGCTCCTTCCGGCTCCTCTTTGGTTCTGGGAGGCGGGCCGCAGGTCGCCGTCAGCGCCGCCGCCTCTCTGGGTCGGACCGGCTCACGTGACCAACGCTGGCTCTGAAGCAGTGGGCCGTACCGAGGCGGCGACGGCGACTGCAGCTCGCGAGGTAGCGGCCTGGGGAGGGACGGGCCGGCTGCCCTCTCGGACGGCCGCGGCGGACGACAAAAATGGCGGAGGCCTCGGCGGCCGGGGCGGACTCGGGCGCCGCTGTGGCTGCCCACCGGTTTTTCTGCCACTTTTGCAAGGGCGAGGTCAGCCCCAAACTACCGGTAAGAGCCCCGTGTCCTCTGTACTCGGGAACCGCATAGATTCCTGGCCTCGGTGTCCCGGAACTAGGTCTGGAGCTTTCCGCACACCCTCGACTCCCCTGACATCGGTCCGCCGAGTACCGGCTGCCCTGTGTCTGCAGCCGCTGGCCCTAAACCCCGGGCGTCGCGGTCCCGGCGCTGTACCCCCTGCTCACCTCTTACTCATCCTGGGCTGCTCCACCTTCCCTCACGTCTTTACCTCCCCCCTCCATCTTTTTTTTTCTTAGCAAGTTTTTCTTTGACAACTCTCCCATCAATTTTCTTGTACTCTTTTATGCCTCGTCTTTTCCCCACGGTGACCTCCCCCCATACTCTTTCCTCTGTGTCTTCTCACCTTCCTCTATTTTCACACTTTTAACCGCCCCCGCCCCCCTCAGTGAAGCAAAATAGCGGATTGCTGAGGATTGTCCCTATTCGGTTGTCTCTCGGGAAGGAAGCACAGAAAGGGGGTTGGAAGGTAACTGTGGGGCGGGAAGGGGCATTTTGCTTTTCAGTGGTTTCCAGGGTCCTTGTGAAAGTGAAAACAGCACCCTATTAATGACTTGCAGACGGCCTGCGCTCCTATCACTCTTGAAGGAAATGGCTTTAGGAAGAAGGCAGGACGTGTTGTTTCAACTTGTTTATTTTGGTTGTCATGCTGCCACTGTCTTTAATACCATTGTTCTGCTCCCCCCGCCACCCCGCGCACCCTGTGTCTTTCTTCACTTAAGAAAAAGATCCCCCACAGAATGTTTTCACGAGTTTCTGCCAGACTGTTAGCCCCTCGAGGGGCAGTGCTGTAGCCGTGAAGAAAACCCTTTCGTAGGTCAGGCTCAGGTCTGTAATCTCAGTGCTTTGGGAGGTCGAGGCAGGAGGATTGCTTGAGGCCAGGAGTTTCAGACCAGCCGGGGGCAACACAGTGAGACCCCTAAGAAAAACAAACACGCAGCATACTAGCCAGCACCAGCATCACAGACCCAGAAGCTGTCTTGGGTTGGGTTGTAGCTACTACGAGGAGCCCCCCAGGGTGAATGGCAATCCTATCCTTGGCCAACTGTCTCTATGATTGTTCCTTTCTTTGGAAGTTTCCAGGTTCGGTCTTATGATAGAGTGGCAACATAATAATTGATGTTTGTATTTATGGTGTCTCAGATATAGTCTAGGAGAAAGCCTTCTAAAGTGAGTCTGTATATCTTATTTCTTAGAAGCACAAATGGAGTCCAGGGAATAAGTGCTTAAAGGGTGTTTAATAGTCTTCTCTCACTCAAAAGTTTTGTTTAAGGCTTTATGATATATTCTTTCCTCTCTACTTGCCCCACCCTCAACTTCATAGTCATAGTTTCATCTAAATGCTGCTTAGCTTCCCCCCCCCCTCCCCGGTTCAACCGATTCCCCTGCCTCAGCCTCCTGAGTTTCAAGTAGCTGGGACTAGAGACATGCGGCCACCAACCTTGGCTAATTTTTTTATTTTTAGTAGAAATGGAGTTTCACCATGTTGGCCAGACTGGTCTTGAACTCTTGACCTCAAGTGATCTGCCCGACTCAGACTCCCAAAATGCTGGTGTTACAGGTGTGAGCCACCACTCCCTGCCTAAATGCTGCTTAGTTTTGCTTGCTGATTTTGCTCTGTGATGATGATGATAATGATTTTTTTTTTTTTTTTTTTTTGCCATATTTCAGTGCTGGGAAGAGCAGGTGCCTTGTTTTTTTCCAGCTAACATCAGAGCCTGCAGAACTCTTACCATAGAGAGGGGAGTCTGGAATTCAGCCAGTATGTATGTGACCAGTGGTGTGTTGTTGAATGTGATGCCTTGTTGAATATTGCAACCTTAGCTTTTTTCATCTTTAAGTTGCTGTTCATTATTTATTATTTTGCCTTTAAGAATGAGAAGTTGGCCAGGTGTGGTGGCTCATACCTGTAATCCCGACATTTTGGGAGTCCAACGTGGGTGGATCACTGGAGCCCAGGAATTCGAGACTAGCTTGGGCAACATGGCGAAACCCGTCTCTACCAAAAAACACAAAAATTTGCCGTGCATGGTGGCACGTGCCTGTAGTCCCAGCTCTTCAAGAGGCTGAGGTAGGAGGATTGCCTGAGGCCAGGACGTGGAGGTTGCCATGAGCTGAGATCACACCATTGCGCTCCAGCCTGGGCAATAGAGCAAGACCCTGTCTCAAAAAAAAAAAGAGGGAGAAGACAGTCTCAGTTTCCACAATTGATTATATCTTTTCTTAACACCTTAAGTCCTTACTTCAAAGGGATCATTTGAAAGGCTGAATAGGTGTTTTTCTAAGCTTTAGTTAATGCCTAGGGAAGTTTCTTGATTATTTTGGTCTGATATATTATTTGTCACATCTGATTTGTAAATTGAGGTGTAAAACAATTGAATATAACCAGATGCTTCCCAAATACATCCAGGGTTCTCTGCTTAGTGTCCTGGAGGTGATATGGAGCAATATGTGGTTCTTGCCCTTAAGGACATTACACTTTTTAGGGAAAGACAAGGCAAACATGGAAAAAGTGACAACGTGAAGGGAATGAAGATATGTGGTTTAGAATTCAGAGAGGGGATTTTCATAGCATTGGTGTGAATTTTGAGGGATAGGTACATTTCAGATTGAGAATTCCAGAGACTGTGAGGTTGCAACAGGAAGAGGGGGTTGATGAAGAAAGGAGAAACATTTAATAAATCATGTTTTTTTTTTT